TGCAGTAGCCAGCAAGCCACAAACTCTTCCAACTTCTTCGCTTCCATTTCCTCTGAGCTAATGTCCCATTTTGTTCCCCAAATATATCAGAATATTGTAGAGGTTGTGTCATGGAATGGTCCTCTCACAAGATCCAGAGGCTTCTGAGCTATTTCAAGCATTTTCAGAGCCTAAGCATGATAAAATGTCATAACAGATCTGTCCAAAAGTGATACTAAAAAGAGAAAGAGAATTAAATACATTATGACATGAATAAAAATTTGTTTTAAGGTTTAAAATCTTTATTACAGTCAAAGACCACCATGATGAATGTGGGATGTATTTAGCTAAAAAATACAGAAATCAAAGTGTAGTAATAGTAATTATACTAAAAAAACAAGACATAAAAGACAGAGTACATATAAAAACAGGAATCTAAATGGAACTGTTAAGGCAGGGGTGTCAAACTGCCGGCCCACGGGCCGGATGCATCATGGCGAAACCGCACCCACCCCATTGCCGGCAATGGGAAAAAAGTCACAATACATTGCGACACATCATGTGACCGTTGCAAGTTTGACCCCCCCCCCCCCCATGTTAAAGTATTTAAATTTAGTAGCTGGAGCAGTGAGGTTGTGCAGTGAGCCAGAACAGTTGTGGTTGATTGGTGGATCCTGCATGAGGCAATCTGCGCTGTGATTGGTTGCTCTGGGTGTGGAGGGGGAATTTCCCTGTTTTCCAGTCTTTTTCTTCTGTATGCTTTGTATGCTGTTCCGTGATTTACCTGATGATGCTCCTGTTTGCCTGAGCATCTAGTTTGCTGTATACACAGTTGTAAAATATATTTACATATAGAAATACAAGTTCATGTCAGCATCTATGACTTCATTTGGACACCTGCTGCCCAATCCCCTGACAGGAACTAAGCAGACAGTAAGGCATAAGATGCCTGTAGCTCCATGAAGTTTAGTATGTGGCAAACTAAATCTATTACTCTACAGAGCAAATTGTAGGATGAGCTGGATGCTCCTTAAGACTAGTTTATGGCACAAGTCATCCATCATCTGACCAATTCTTACTGCTGCTCTGCAGAACCTGGCAACATTATACTGTATTTTGTACCAGGGTGTCTATCTGAAAGCAACAGGGAACTATAGAATTGTCCTGTGCATACTGAGTATTTATGCAGTGCTGGAGAAACAAACCTGGTACAAACATCGCTGTGATAAAGTCACTGGAGAAACACATGATTTGTTGTTTCTGTGTGTCCAGAACCACAGGGGCATTGTATTATAACCTGAACTGTATTACTGAAATGAACCACCCTTGAATTCTTTGGTGTCTTCTAAATTCAGGAAAAAATTTAGCAACTTCCACTGCTATCACCCACCAGCATTCAAAGGATAACAGGAGACACCCCCAAGCAAAGTAGATCATAGCAGCAGTTGGTAGAAAACTTGGAAGATCCTACATTCAAAAACTACATCTATTTTTTCTCTATAATAACAGGATCTGTTTGATCTTCCACATGGTGCAGTTTGTCTCCCAGTTGATGTCAGGGTAGTTAAAGTCCCCCACTACTATTGTGATATACTTTCTACATACCTTAGTTAGCTGACTAGCAAAAAGTTCATCTATTTTCTGTTTGGTATAGTATACACCTATGGCAATGTATACACCTATAGTATACACCTATGGCAATGTCATTTCCCCCCCTTTTATACTGACCCAAATGCATTCAAGACAGTTTTCATTATTGCTGTACTCTATTTCTGTAGAGATGTAGTTATTTCTTATATATAGTGCAACTCCACCTCCTCTTTTATTTTGGTCTGTTTCTTTTAAATAATTTAAATCCCTCTAGCTGTGTGTTCCATTTGTGAGTTTCATCCCACCAAGTTTCCCTAATGGCAACAATATATCTGTCTTCATTTACTTGTATTTCTAATTCACCCTGTTTATTGTTCATATTCTGCACGTTGGTATATAGATATTTGAGTCCTTTTTGGCTGATCCTGTGTTTACTTTCTACATAACCTGTATAGAAATATTCTATATCAATTAACTCACTCTCCCCGTTTAGTTTAAATGTTTCACCAGAAAATCTGTAAATTTAATGCCAAGTAACTCAGTCCCTTTCTTTGACAGATGCAAACCATCTCTTTTTCATTGGACCAGCTGCAGACATCGTGACTAATATAACCAAAGCTTTCCCACTTACACCACTCCTTTAGTCACACATGAACTCCGCTATACACTGGCCTTTTCCTTTTTTGTTCCTTATATACTGGAAAAACCTCTATCCTACCAAGTTCCTGCCCCAAGCTCTGGAAATCATTCTGCACAGAGAGTACATCTTTTTGGGACAGATGATTTGTGCCAAGATGTACAATAGCATCAACATCACAGTCCTTATTGGAATTCTTGACTATCTTAAAAATATGCCTCTTGTCTCTGCACCTGACAGACACCTGACCTCTTTCAAAGCCTCCATATCCTTTCCTAAATTTACATCCAGCAGTATTTGCATATCATGTTCAACAACCTTTACATGTGAAATGTTCTTCTCCCTGCCCCAAATCTCCCTCATAGGTTCTCCATTCGGTGCTTCACTGTTCACAATCTGAACTGTAATTCTTCTTGTCCTGATTTTCTGAAGATGTTAGGAAAAGATGAACTCTGAACCTTCCTTACTTCTCTTCTCCTGTCACCTCATATTTCAGGAGCTACAATAGGTAAGTAAATCAGAGTGCTCCTATTCCCTAATATATTTTTTCAGGATGTAAAAAAACTGTACATTGCTTTTCTATGATCTCTGTTGTTCAACATGCAAAAAACATCTCCAAAAGCCTTTTGGCAGCAATTGTGCTCTTTGCAAAAGGAAATATCCACTGCATTTTGCTGACAGCCAGACACAAGTAGTTAACCTTGATCAAGCTATCATTTTCCATTTTCATTTCTTTCTCTCCTCCGTCATGCCTAAGTACTGAGGACATGTACAGCTAAACAGAATCAGATCAGAAATTAAATACTTAATTTCATAGGGTTTCTCCCCAATGTGAGTCTTCTTGTGTTTCACAAGGTTGGAATTATTACTAAAACTTTCTCCACAATCAGGACATTCAAAGGGTTTCTCTCCTGTGTGAGTCCTCTGGTGTATCATCAGGTTGGAATTAAGAAATTAAATACTTAATTTCTCAGCTGAACTTGCAAAGGCAGATGAGAAAAGAAATTCAAGCCTTCTCTTTACTCATCATCTTCTGGGTCATGTGGATTTTCTTATGTTTAATAAGAGAGGAGGTTTGCGAGAAGCACCGTCCGCATTCTGGGCACTTGAAAGGTTTCTCACCTGTGTGCAAACCTACATGATTTATAAGATTAGTCCTAGTACTGAAACCTTTCCCACAATCAGGACACTCATATGGTTTTTCTCCTGTGTGAGTCCTCTGGTGTATCACCAGGCCAGAATACCAACTGAAACATTTTCTACAGACCAGGCACTCATACGGTTTCTCCCCTGTGTGAGTCCTCTGGTGTATCATCAGGTTGGAATTCTGATTGAAACTTTTCCCACAATCTGGACACTCATAGGGTTTCTCCCCAGTGTGAGTCTTCTTGTGTTTCACAAGGTTGGAATTATTACTGAAACTTTTCCCACAATCAGGACATTCAAAGGGTTTCTCTCCTGTGTGAGTCCTCTGGTGTATCATCAGGTTGGAATTACGAAAGAAACATTTCCCACAATCTGTACACTTGTATCGGTTCTCCCGAATATGAGTCCTCAGGTGTTTAACAAGGTTCGAATTCTGACTGAAACCTTTCCCACAATTGGGACACTCATACGGTTTCTCCCCTGTGTGAATCCTCTGGTGTATCATCAGGTTGGAATTATGACTGAAACCTTTCCCACAATCTGGACATTCATACGGTTTCTCCCCTCCGTGAGTCCTCTGGTGTTTCACAAGGTTGGAATTATTACTGAAACCTTTCCCACAATCTGGACATTCGTATGGTTTTTCTCCGGTGTGAATTCTCTGGTGTATCGCAAGGGCAGAATTATGACTGAAACTTTTCCCACAATCCGGACACTCGTATGGTTTATCCCCTGTGTGAGTCCTCTGGTGTATCATCAGGTTGGATTTGTGACTGAAACATTTCCCACAGTCTGGACATTCATAAACTTTCTCCCCTGTGTGAGTCCTCTGGTGTATCATCAGGGTGGAATTATGACTGAAACTTTTCCCACAGTCTGGACACTCATACACTTTCTCTCCTGCGTGAGTCCTCAGATGATTCACAAGGTTAGTATTACGACTGAAAGTCTTCCCACAGTTGGGACACTCATATGGTTTCTCTCCTGTATGAGTCCTCTGGTGTATCACCAGGCTGGAATTGTGACTGAAACCTTTCCCACAATCTGGACATTCATACACTTTCTCCACTCTGTGTGTCCTCTGGTGTATCACCAGGTGGGAATTCCGACTGAAACTTTTCCCACAATCCCAACACTCATACGGTTTCTCCCCTGTGTGTGTCCTCTGGTGTGTCACCAGGTGGGAATTCTGACTGAAGCCTTTCCCACAATCTGGACACACATAGGGTTTCTCTCCTGTGTGTGTCCTCTGGTGTGTCACCAGGTGAGATTTCCGATTGAAAGCTTTCCCACAATCAGAACACCCATATGACTTCTCCCCCATTTCAGTCCTCTTTTGTAACACTAAGGTAGCCTGTTTCCTAAAGCTTCTGCCACATTGAGGACAGACGGTGGTCTTTTCTTCATATGCACATCGGTGAGGCTTTTCAACCTATAATATTATTGGATTCTCAAGGTCAAAGATATTTTGGATCCCTTCTTGGATGGGTGCTTTCATTCAAGCTATTCTTTCTTCACAGGGCAAGGCTTGCATAACTTACCTATCCTATGTGATTATACAAGTGACCCCTTCCTCCTCACTGATTTCCAGATTATTTCCCTTTTTCTGTATTTGCAAATTCTCCCCCTTGACTTTTCTCTGGAGTGTTTGCTTCAGCTCTACATACTCAGTTTTTTCCAGCTCAAAATTCTCTTCCTATTATTCTCTCTTTTGTCTCTCACCTTCCTCATGAAGGAGAAGAATTTTGTAGTTTTCGGAGGAGTCGGAAAAAAACTTTCATTGCTGGATGGATTTGCTTTTCTTTTTAATGCTGCTTGTGATTCTCACTTGTCCGGAATTCTCTTCCTGGCATCCTATTTGTCTATAAAATGGACATAAACCCTTAGTTTAATGGTTGTTTATAAAGTCGCTGCAGAAGATATGAAAACAGCAAGAGAAAAAGCATACATTATAATGAAAAAGCAAGCATGCTAAAATGCTACTTTAACCTCTAACATTAACTATGATTCATTTGATGTATAGAAGATTAGCGAGATCCATGTTCAAATATCCACACAAACATTAAATTCCCTTCTGGACTTCAGCAAATCACAAACTCTTAGCACTACAAACTGTTATTTTCAAATATACAGAAAATGCTGAGGATAGATTATACAGAATTGCAATAGATAAAAGATTTCCCTATCAGTCATGTCTGACTGTAGAGCATGGAGCTCATCTCCATTGTCATAGGTGTATACTACCAAGCAGGAGAAATAGATGAACCTTTTGCTGACCAGTTAACAAATGTATTTCAGAAACACTCCATAATAGTAACAAGGGACTTTAACTAGCCTGACATCAACTGGGTGACAAACTCTGCATTAGGTGGGAAATTGAACAAGTTCCTGACCAACATAGTTGACAACTTTTGTTCATCCAAAAGGTGGAGGAGGGAACTAGGGGGACAGCTATACCGCTATAGCCGCCCTGAGTCCTACGGGAGAAGGGCGGGATATAAATCCAAAAAATAAATAAATAAATAAATAAATAAATAAATATACTGGACCTAATTTTTACTAACACAAAAGAAGTGAAAGAGGGGGTTTAATGTTGCTGCATCTTTGGGGGAGAGTGACCTTGTCATATTGGAATTCAATATTATGCAGACACAAACAACAGAGCATAATCACACCAGTGTCTTAAACTTCAAAGGAGCTGGTTTTAACAAACTTAGAAAGAGCTTGGGAAGGTTTCATGGATGAAAATCTTAAAGGGGAAAACCACTCAACAAAGTTGGAAAACTGTGAGAAATATGATTATAAAAGTCCAGTCCAGCTCAATACCACTGAATAAGAAAAACAAAATATCCAAGAAGAAACCAGCATGGTTACAAAGAATTCTTTCATAAATTGAAAGACAAAAAGGATAAATACAAATAGTGGAAAGAGGGACATATAACTAAGGCAGAGTTCAAACAAATAGCCTTGTAAAGATGAAATCAGAAAAGCTAAGGCTCAGAATGAAAGAAGTCTTGAAACAAATGTTAAAAATAATTTTAAAAGTTTATTTCAACATATAAAAAAACAAGAAAAAAGTCAAGAAAATAATCAGTCCACTAATGAGAGAAGATGGCAAGGAAGTAACAGGCAGTAAAGAGAAAGCAGAGCTACTCAATTAATTTTTGGTCATATTATAAAAACAACGTAGAGACTCTGGAAAGAGTGCAGAAAAGAGCAGCAAAGATTATTACGTGGCTGGAGGCTAAAACACATGAAGAATCATTGCAGGAATTGGGTTTGTCTAGTCTAGAGAAAAGAGGGACTAGGGGTGATATAATAGCACTGTTCCAATATCTGGGGGGCTGTTATAAATAAGAGGGGGTCAACGTATATTCCAAAGGACCAAAAGGGAAGGCAAGAAACAATGGATGGAAACTGATCAAGGAGAGAAGCAACTTAGAACCAAGGAGAAATTTCCTAACAATAAGAACAATCAACCAGTGGAACGGCTTGCCTTCAGATGTTGTGGGTGCTCCATCATTGGAGGCTTTTAAAAAGAGACTGGACAGCCACTTGCCTGGAATGGCATAGGGTTTCCTGCTTGAACAGGGGGTTGGACTAGAAGACCTTCAAGGTCCCTTCCAACTGTACTATTCTGTTATGCTGTTCTTTTGCTTCTTGGTCCAGGGAGCCAGCATTGTCCGAAGATAATTTCAGTGGTTCTGTGGCCAGCATGACTCTACGCCAAAGGCACATGGAACTCTATTACCTTCCCACCAAAGTGGGACCTATTAATCAACTTGCATTTGCATGCTTTCGAACTGCTGGATTGGAGGGGCAGGGGAAGTAACGGGAGCTCACCCTGATGTATGGAGCTCGCGCCTTGAACCCCAGTCATCAGCCCTCCAGCTGAAAAGCTCAGGATCTTTAACCACTGAGTCATTGCACTCCACACAGATACGCATTCAAACAAATATAAACACACTTACCAAAGCATGTTAAAAGGTCCATGTATACTTTAGGCGAAAACATATCCCGGAAGCGGGTACGCTCAAACTTTTTAGTCTAATTTTAGAGGAAGAGGGGGCTTCAATAGATGAACGTCTTCAACCGATGAAAAAGTGCTGAAAGCATCTGTAAGATATAACGCCCAGTTTTGTGCATGAAACTCCTCAGTTTCCAAGAAAACAACAAGATCATAAAAATCACGAAGAGTCCACCCTAAACGGAAGGAGACTTTTTAAATTTCCCAACCAACAAAAAATTGCAGGCACCACTTTTAAAGCGACCAGCACCACTGGAACAAAATTTGGGGAGGGAAGGAACATGCAGCAGCAACATGTCTCTGGTTTCTTCTCTTCTTCTACACCAGTGTTTCTCAACCTTGACAATTTTAAGGCATGTGGACTTCAACTCCCAGAATTCCACAGCCAGCATTGCTGGTTGTGGAATTCTGGGAGTTGAAGTCCACATGCCTTAAAATTGTCAAGGTTGAGAAACACTGTTCTGCACCGTGAAGGAAACCAAACAGCACTACTTGCTCCCGGCTTCTTCTCCGACCTGCCCTCAACTCACCTTTCAGCTGCTGTTTGACCCTGGAAAAAACCAGGAGAGCCGCCCTCCACGCCTCCATCCTCCCATGGATGAGCCGGAAGAGGAGATTCCTCTGTTTTCTCCTCTCTAGAAATCCAATACTCGATGGTTTCAACACCTTTCAGTTCTGTCGCTCCCCCTCCCGCTGGATGTCAGCACTCAACAACCATCGATGCCGCTACTGTATTGACGACTTTCTAGGCGGTGGGGTGTTGTTCATTTCATCGAGCGCCATCTAGCGACATAAGGCTGAAAATCTATTCTTTGCGAGCTTTTGGATCGATTATTGTATGCGCCATTAAGTGATTTCGAAACCACCGACCATATCGATCATTTTACTTTGGATCGATCTCTTAAACTGTTCTTTCCGGTCTCCCAGGGATGCTCTCACAGCTAGTATAACTGACCCAGCGGCTTTGCGTGCAAGAATTTAAATCAACATGGGGACGGGGGGGGGGGGGCAGGAAACGATGTGCACACAAACAGCACCAAATGCACATCATTCGTACATTGGTGACTTCTGTTCCAGCCAGTTATGGGGGGGGACATAACTGGGGGTCAAGGATAACTCCTCAAAACCTAACTTTGCAAACTAAGGGAAGCTTGAAAAGTGAAGCTCTAAATCAGGGGTAGTCAACCTTGGCTCTTTTATGACTCGTGGACTTCAACTCCCAGAATTCCTGAGCCAGCTAAGCTGGCTCAGGAATTCTGGGAATTGAAGTCCACGAGTCATAAAAGAGCCAAGGTTGACTACCCCTGCTCTAAATGATTGCCAGCTTCATCCTATTAATAGACGAAACCTGGGACAAACCTGGAAGCATCCACTTGCATTGCCTCCGAAACACATCTACCTAGGACAGTGGTTCTCAACCTTTTTAATGCCGCGACCCCAACCGGTCGTAAGTCGAGGACTAAACCAGTCGTTAAGTCAAGGACTACCCAACCGGACGTAAGTCGAGGACTTTCCCTGCCCGGGAGCGCCGCACATGCGTGGTTCCGCCCCCTGCGCCGGCCGAGGCGTAGCTGGCAAGCGGCAGACGGAGCAGGCCGACCACCAGCTGGCCCAGCCCAAGGGAGGTAAGGCACCCGCCGGAAAAGGGGGAAAAAATGGCGGACAGCCTTGCTTGGCGACCCCCATGAAATGGTTGATCGACCCCAAATGGGGTCCCGACCCACAGGTTGAGAACCACTGACCTAGGAGGAATTTAAGGTTTGCCGCTGAACATTCCTCTCTGTATTGTTGGGGAGCCTAAATCTCACTAGAGGGCAGGATTGCTCTGAGCAGCCTTCCAAATCTCCAGAGGAGTTAAATTCGCAGCCTTATTGTTCTCAAGCAACTTGGGCTAAAGACTTGGAGGAAACTAGTTTGCAGAAAGATGATCTAAAGATTGTTGTGCCTTCACAGAGGTGGTTCTGGCCAGTGATCACGTCCTCTCTATATAGAAGATTAGTGAGATCCAAGTTCAAATATCCAACAAACATTAAATTCTCTTCTGCGCTTCAGTAAATCACAAACTCTTAGCATTACAAACTGTTATTTTCTCCCATTTTGTTCCCCAAAGACAGTTCAGAATGTTGTAGCAACTAAGAGTTTGCATTCCAGAGTGGTCCTCTCAAAGGTCCAGAGGCTTTTGATCTATTTCAAGCACTTTCAGTGCCTAAAGCATACAAAAAAAGTAACATGTGTCCAAAGATGACACTAAAAAGAGAGAATTAAATATGTCAAAAATTAAAACTAATTGGATTATTTTACAATTTAAAATCTTTATTATAGTGAAATACCAGCCTAACAAACATGGGGCGTATTCAGCTAAAAACTATAGGACAGTGATGGCGAACCTTTTAGAGACTGAGTGCCCAAACTGCAACCCAAAACCCACTTATGCATCGTCGGGTGCCGGGTGGGTGTGGCCCATTGGGTGGGCGTGGCTGTGGTGGTAACGGCAGACTGGGTGGGACTACAAAGTTCAATCAATCAAGTCCAACTTTACAAGATCTTTTTTTTCCCCGCAAGAAGTTGAAATTGACTGATTGAACCTTTTTTTTTTTTTTTTGCACACGGCGGCGGAGGCCTAAAGCGAAAAGGTTTTATAAAACCCAGCTGAAGGCCTAGGACTGGGGCGACGGCACGCATGCCCACAGAGAAGGTTCTGAGTGCCGCCTCTGGCACCCGTGCCATAGGTTCGCCACCACTGCTATAGGAAGTAATCAAAGCCTAAAAAATAATAAGTATACTAAAAAACAAAAGACATAAATGACAGAGTATATTAAAAAGCAGAAGTCTAAATGGAATTAAGAGAACAGCAGTTTATGCAGTACAGGAGAGATGAGCCTGGTACAAACGTCTCTGTAATACAGCCACCGGAGAAGCAAGTGCTCCGTTGTTTGTGTGTCCAGAGTCACTGGGAGTGCTATTATAACCCGAATTGTGTTACTGAAATGAACACCCCTTGACTTATTTGGTGTCTAGTAAACTCAGCAAAAATATATCACCTTCCACTGCTATCACCTACCAGAATTCAAAGGCTAACAAGAGGCACCTCAAAGCAAAGAAGGTCACAGCAAGAGTTGCTAGGAAACCTGGAGAACCTACACTCAAAAACCACATCCCTTTTTTCCTCTATAATATTCAAATAGTGTTTGTATATCATGCTCAACGACCTTTACATGTGAATTTTTTGTGCTTTTCTCACTGCCCCAAATCTCCTTCATGTGTTCTCCATTCTGTGCTTCACTGTTCTCGTTTCACTCTGCACAAACTGAACAGGGATTCTTCTTGCACTGAAAATGTTTTTAAAAATGAACTCTGAATTCTCTTTACCTCTCCTCTCTGATCATCTCACATTTGAGCAGCTATAATCACTAAGTAAATCGGAGAGCTCCTATCTTTTATTTTTTAGCATCTGCAGATTTCTGAAACTCTGTATGTTGCTTTTCTATGATCTCTGTTGTTAAACATGCAAAAACTATAACCCCAAAGCCTTTTTGCAGCAATTGCACTATTTTTTCACAAGAGAATATCCACTACGTTCTGCTGATAGCCAGACGCAAGTAGTTAACCTTGATCAAGCTAACATTTTCCATTTTCATTTCTTTTCTCTCCTCCCTCATGCCTAACACTGAAACATGTTTCACTAAACTGAATCAGACCAGAAATTAAATAATTTCTCAGCTACATTTGCAAAGGCAGCTCAGAAAAGAAATTCAAGCTTTCTCTTCACTCATCACCTTCTGCCTCATGTGGATTTTTTTATGCTTATTAAGGGAGGACGTTTGTGAGAAGCACTTTCCACAATCTGGGCATTTGAAAGGCTTCTCCCCTGTATGTAAACCTACATGATTTATCAAGATAGATCTAGCACTGAAACTTTTCCCACAGTCCGGACACTCGTATGGTTTCTCCCCTGTGTGAATCCTCTGGTGCATCACAAGGCTAGAATTCCAACTGAAACATTTACCACAATCTGGACACTTGTACGGTTTCTCCCCAGTGTGAATCCTCTGGTGCATTAGCAGGGCAGAATTCCGAATGAAACCTTTCCCACAGTCCAGACACTTGTATGGTATCTCTCCAGTATGATTCTTCTGGTGGTTCAGGAGGTCAGAATTATGACTGAAAACTTTCTCACAATCGGGACACTGATATGGTTTCTCTCCTGTGTGAGTCCTCAGGTGTTTCATCAAATGGGAATTGCAAAAGAAACCTCTCCCACAATCTGGACACACATGCGGTTTCTCTCCTCTGTGAGTCTTCTGGTGTATCACGAAATTGGAATTATCACTGAATTTTTTCCCACAATCCTGACACTCATACGGTTTCTCTCCTGTGTGAATCCTCTGGTGTGTCACCAGGTGGCAATTCTGACTGAAGCCTTTCCCACAATCTGGACACTCATAAGGTTTCTCTCCGGTGTGCGTCCTCTGGTGTTGCACAAGGTGAGAATTCCGATTGAAGGTTTTCCCACAATAAGAACACCCATATGATTTCTTCCCCATTTCAGTCCATTTTTGTATTACTAGCAGTGGTGGGATTCAAATATGTGAACAACCAGTTTTCTGTGTGTAGGCCACTTCCGCTTCTGGGCCTGGGCAACAAAAAATTAGCTACCGGTTCTGCCGAAGTGGTGCAAACTGGCTGAATCCCAGCACTGATTACTAGGATAGCGTGTTTCCTAAACCTTGTGCCACATTGAGGACAGAGGGTGGGGTTTTCTTCAGAGCGGTTCCTTTAGTGTATAATCAGGTGTGATCTACAATCTGTGCTTTTCCCACAATATGCACATCGGGGGGGGGGGCTTTTCAACCTATAATATTATTGGATTCTCATGGTCAAAAATATGTTGGATCCTTTCTTGGATGGGTGCTTTCATTCAAGCTATTCTTTCTTCACAGAGCAAGGCCTGCATGACTGTCTATCCTATGTGATTATACAAGTGATCCCTTCCTCCTCACTGATTTCCAGATTATTTCCCTTTTTCTGTATTTGCAAATTCTCCCCCTTGACTTTTTTTCTGGAGTGTTTCCTTTGAGCTCTACATACTCAGTTTTTTCCAGCTCAAAATGCTCTTCCTATTATTCTCTCTTTTGTCTCTCACCTTCCTCATGAAGGAGAAGAATTTTGTAGTTTTCGGAGGAGTCGGAAAAAACTTTCATTGCTGGATGGATTTGCTTTTCTTTTTAATGCTGCTTGTGATTCTCCCTTGTCCGGAATTCTCTTCCTGGCATCCTATTTGTCTATAAAATGGATATAAAGCTTTAGTTTAATGGTTGTTTAAAAAGTTACTGCAGAAGATGTTAAAACAGCCAGAGAAAAAAGCATGCATTATAATGAAAAAGCGAAAATGCTAGATTAACCTCTATCATTAAATATGATTCATTTGACGCATAGAAAACTAGCAAGATGCAAGTTCAAATATCCACACAAACATTAAATTCCCTTTTGGATTTCGTAAATCACAAACTCTTAGCACTACAAACTGTTATTTTCAAATATATCAGAAAATGCTGAGGATAGATTATACAGATTTGCAATAGATAAGGATTTCCCTGTCAGTCATGTCTGACTCTAGGGCATGGAGCTCATCTCCATTGTCATAGGTGTATACTACAGGCCACCCAACCAAGCAGGAGAAATAGATGAACTTTTTGCTAACCAGTTAACAAATGTATTTCAGAAACACTCCATAATAGTAATATGGGTCTAACTAGCCTGACATCAACTGGGTGACAAATTCTGCATCAGGTGGGAAATTGAATAGGTTCCCGACCAATCTAGCTGACAACTTTGTCATCCAAATGGTAGAGGGGGGAACTAGAGGGACAGCTATATTGGAACACATAAGAAGTGATAGAGAGGGTTGAAGTTGTTGCAACTGTGTGGAAGAATGACCACGTCATATTGGAATTCAATATAATGCAAATGCAAACAACAGAACATAATCAAACCAGTGTCTTAGACTTCAAAAGAGCTTATTTTAATAAACCTAGAGAGAGCTTGGGAAGGATTCCATGGATGAAAATCTTAAAGGGGAAAACCACTCAACGGGGTTAGGAAACTCTGAAAAATATGATTATAACAGCCCAGTCCAGCTCAATACCACTGAAAAAGAAAAACAAGAAACCCAAGAAACCACCAGCCTGGTTACACAAAGAACTCTGATAAACTGAAAGACAAAAAGAATAATTACAAAAAATGGAAAGAGGGAGATATAATTAAGGCAGAGAGCAAAAAGCCCAAACTTGTAATGATGAAGTCAGAAAAGCTAAGGCTCAGAATGAAATAAGACTTGCAGGAAATGTCAAAAATAATTTTAAACGTTTAAAATTATAAAAGAAGAAGAAAAAAAGTCAAGAAAACAATTGGTCCACTAATGAGAGAAGATGGCAAGGAAGTCATGGGCAGTAGAAAGCAGAGCTACTCAATTCATTTTTGCATCTGTCTTCACACAGGGATAATACATCCCAACTTATCAAAAACTTAACTGTAAAAGACAGATTAGGAATACAAATTAAAATAAGC